TTTCATGTTCATTTTGGATCGTTGGATGAAAAATGGCAAGATTAAAATTTTTAGCAAAGTGCTAGGGTAAAGTTGTAAACAGTCAATTAACTTGTTCATCTTTGATTTTATAAAGATGATAAGTGTTATATGGCTTGGTATGGATGTAATTATCAAGTTTCATAAATGGAAAATTTTTCATTTCTAATTAAATGAATTTTAAATATATTTAGACTTAAACACATGATAAATTACGGAGAAATTTCATGAGACCAAGTCATTTTTGAGCTTCCACTGTCGTGTTCCCCAAACCCTAGTTATGGAAATTCTATTTATCATTTTCAAATAATTTCCTTGGGTTTTTGGATTAAGACTTGAATAGAAAATAGTTATATTCGATGAGCTCTATTATTCGTACCACTATTGCATGCTAATTTTTCTCAAGTTCAAAGATCCTAAGTTCTAGGGTTTATGTTCATGTTAGGGTTTTAAGAAATGATGATGGATTTTGAGGTTATTGATGTTATAGAATCGGTTTCAAGCTTGATTGAGTATTTAAATCACCTAAACATGTTTATATAAGGTTCGACCTAACCCTGGATTTTGGGGAAGTTGTGATTTAATGAAATTAAGTTTGGGATTTGTTGTAGAGGTTTTGAAATGATGAATAGAGGTTGATTTCATGCTTGAATCAAGTGAAAACCATGGAATATAAATCCCTATATGGTTCGACCAAGAAGAAATAAATTGGGAAAATTGTGGAAAAATTCACATGGCTTAGAAATGATGTTTTGAAAGTCTACAAGCATTAGAAATTTTTTTTGGACAATTTGTAATTTTTCAAAAGTCGAGGGACCTATTCAATAGTTATGAAAAATTATGGGTTTAAGGTGTAATTGTTTAATAATTTATGTACTAAGCTGAAAATTAATGTTAAAGTGTTGCAATTGATGTTAGAATGTGAAATTGGGCCATCTTGGAAAGTTGGTAAAAGTTGAGGATAAAATCACAAATATGGGAAAGTTGGGAACTCAAGTGAAAATGTCATGTGAAATTTAAATTAAAAAGGAACTTAAATTGTTAATTACAAGTATTAAGGACAACAATGACGTTGTGAAATGAACATTTTATTGAATGAGCATCAGCAGATATTTAGGAAATTTATTTTCTAATGTGTGCCTATGTTAATAAGATTCTAACATGTGGTTTGAATTGTATATGCTTTGAAATGATGCTCATTTAGATTGTGTGCTTGAAATCAGAATCGGACATTATTCAAGCTAAGGAGAAGCTTAAGGATGGAATGTGAGAAATTCGTGAGAAATCTAATGAAAGTTTGCAAGCTTAGGATACCTAGTGAGTGCAAATTTAATTTGTACTTATGTTATCAAATAAACATTGGTTTGCAATGAGCCAGTGATGAAGTTACTGAAGTGACTCCTAATTTTGTGTGACATTTTTATTCATGAATATATGTGCATTGGGTGAGCTAATAAAATTAGGGAATAAGATGTAAATGACAATTGGTGAAATATACCTAGTATTTATGTTCTGAACAATAAGTTTAGAAAATCACCATAAAATATACAGAAATTATTAGAGAATGAATCTTATACCGTTGGATTCTTATATCAGTATAATTTTGTTTAAAACAAACTTATATTGATTTTAGGTGTGTACAAAAAGATATGAATGTTTAATCGAGGATAGGTCACAAAATAGGGCAGCAGATTCTGCTCAAAACAGCTTCTGTAAGTCAAATTTGAAAATTCACTATAAATTATACAAATTAAACTAGGAGGATTACCTATATGGTTAGATTTTTATTTGAGTCTAGTTTCAAGTGATATAAAAGGAATAATTTTTAATTTTTTAGATAAATACAGAATAATATTTCTTTGAAGGTAGTGCAACTTGCAAGAATATGAAATAGTGATAAAAATTGGGATCGAACCAAATCGAAACAAAAGGATTAAGTTAAGGCTTAGTGATGTTTATACTTTTACTTGTATATGATTTCAAACTGAATGCAATGCATACATAATATTATACATGATGTTTCATACATCATCGGGTAGGACTTTCGATAAGTCTACCTTGTTTATATTGGCTTGATATTTATGTCATTTATCATATATTTTACATATTCTAAATGTGGAAAAGGTTGAATATAAAATGCATTGATCGCTACTTATTATATATGATGTTTATTATGAACATATATGATGTTTAATGTGAATGTTATTTTGGGCATGAATTACCCAATGTTAAATTATTTTAATTTACTTTGCCTTGGATGGAAAAAATGGACTATATGCCCAAGTAAGTCATTGAGGGATATGGTGTAGTTGGCATGCCATAGAGTATAGTAGCAGCTACATATCGATTAAGCACTTTGATACATATGGTGGGCACGACCTTATGTGTAAGCACTTCGGTCTATATGGTGAGCATGACCTTATGTGTAAGAACTTCGATGCAACTCGCATACAAAGGGTCCTTGATTCTACGAAAGATGCTATAGTATTAAAGGCAAGTATAAGTATCGTTAAAGTAATAAAGTGGTAGCAATTAATGCTACAAATGTCAAACCGACAGGGAGCGGAGTATTTTCATTAAAGTTTTGCAATAGTACGATTTATTAAAGATCCAATATGCTAAAAAAGAAAATAATGAAAATGAGAATAAAAGACAATAACTCTTGCTACAACATTTCAAGAAGCAATCCAAATTTCATGCAAATAGTGCAGACTTAATTTATATGATCAACATTGATTAAAATCATTTGAGCTACTTTAATGACTTTCATTAATAAAAGGCTCAAACTATTAACAATACTAATCAATTGGTTGTGAACTTTTAAGTACACCTATGATACCCAACAACACCAACGCTAATAGAAGTATATAACATATCGAATAAAATTGTTTCTAGATTTAAAGGGAAATACCATATATATAATTGAAAATATTTCTACACTCACAATCATGAAGTTCAACACTCATAAAAAAATATTCAAGCAAAAACAAAATAAAGAAATTTATAATAAACATCCAACAATAGTTTAGCATTCTAATCAATCTATCTCTCAATAAAAGGGCTTGAATGGTGATATGCTGATTGTTGGAGCTACTCAGCGTGCTTCCTTCATGATGTAGCAAACCTTGGTAGAGGACTTAGGCTTCCATGGCTTGGAAAGAATTAACGTGGAAATTGGTACTTTGGATCTCTCTAAATCATCCACCTTTTTGCACCAAAGTATGCCCCTCTTTTGGTTCTTCAATATATGATTCGGTGCTTGAATGATATAATCATCTATTTGGAAAGGCTCTACACTCCGGAGATACTTGCTACAACATTCAACTTCTTCGTCCATTGAGAATTCTTAAAATGCTTTGAAATAACATACAACTTTATTTGCGCTATAGCATTCCTCCAAATCCTCATATGCAAAAATTTCAATCACATCAAGTGAAAAACAATCATCATTTTTCATTGATGTAAGAAACATTATTGAAGACATTAAACATAATATGTTCATCATTCAAACACGTAGTAAATTCTCCATTTTCAACATCAATAAAAGCTTGGTTGTAGCAAGGAATGGGCGACCGAGAATAATTGGAACATCTTTGTCCTCTCCACAATCCAAAATGATGAAGTCCATAGGAAAAATAAACTCGTACACTTCGCACAAGCATGTTCTCCACAGCACCATTATGATCCACGCTAGAGTGGTCATCAGGTTACAAAGTAACTGTAGTGGGCCTTGCTTCATTGCTTCCAAATTTCCTAAGGATTGACAATGGCAATAGATTTATACTTGCACCCAAATAACATAAAGCTTTACCTATAAATGTGTTACCAATGTTACAAGGAATAGTGAAACTTCCTAGATCTTTAAGCTTCGATGGGAATTGACTTGTAGATATAGCGCTACAGCCTTCGGTAAGCGCAAATGTCTCAAACTCACCGAGTCTTAATTTCTTTGAGAGAAATTCCTTCATGAATTTGATATTATTTGGGTTATGCTCTAAAGCATCAATTAATGGAATGTTAATGGTAACGACTCTGAGTAACTATTATGCCCTGCATCTCGTGTTGTGAATTGATTTATAATTGATTTAGACTCAACATTTTTACTCTTTCTTTTCCATGTTGATGAGATTCCTCATTATTTATCATCGATTCTTCAACCGATTCACCAATATGAATTTCACATCTTGCGGTAATGAACTTGTAATGCTCCTTACCCTTTTATTTGGAATTCTTAGTGTCGCTAGGTAGTGTTCCTTGCAATTAACTATTTAAAGAATTATCCATTTGTCCCATTTGATTTTTCAAAAGCCTTAAACGAGGTAGACTAGGTTACCTTGTATTCTTTCATCATAGCTTCAAATGGCGTTTAAATTGGAGTTTGATTCAAAGTTTGGCCTTGGTAAATCTACCATTGTTGTGGTTAGGTAACAAGTTATTGTGCTTGAGGCTGTAATATTTGACTCTGCTGGATATAATGTTGCGGCTGATACTGTTGATGATGTGGGTTGGAAACATTTTGACTTCTTCAAGAAAAATTGGGATTATTTAAGAAATTGACATTATTTGTATTGCCAAAAGAATTATCACTCCTTTGATAATTCCTCACATAATAAATAAACTCTGAATTTTTGGGGCATTAATCAAAATTATGGTCATCGCCACAATATACGCAAGTGATAAGAGTAGCTTTGACTTCGTATAGTCCTCTAGGTTAATGCAACTTCTTCACCATTTTAGTCAATGGTGAAATCTGAGATACCATTTAGTTAAAAGCTTATGAGTCTACTACCGCAGTACCAGGCCGACCAAATGTTTTGTGCGTGTTAGGTTATTGACAATCATTAGTAAAGATTCTTTCTAAAATATCATATGCTCGATTATATGTTTTATCCAGCAATGATCTATCTACTGAGGCATCAACCACTATTCTAGTGTGAATATTTAACTCATTGTAAAACATCTCCATTTGAGTCCAATATGGGAATCCATGCATAGGACACTTTCATAGCAAATCTTTAAATATTTCACATGCCTCATACAAGCTTTCATCTTCCATATGCTTGAAAGGAGTTAAATTATTTCGAAGCTTAGCATTCATATTCAATGGGTAAATCACAACAAAGACTTCTACACTAATTCATTCAGGATGCTATAGCACCTGGTGGCAGTGAACTCAACCAAACCCATGCCTTATCTCGCAACGAATGGGGAAATAATTTCATCTTCAATACCTCCACTAGAACACCTTGCTGAATAAAAGAATCACAAACCTCCATAAATGCTCTCAAATGGGCTCTAGGATCTTTAGCAACCAATCCCCCATATTATCCTAGAGATTGTAGCATTTGGAACATAACTGACTTTAAGTCAAAATTCACAACATTACTAACTGGCCTCATAATGCCTAGATGCGAATCATCTAATTTCAGTACCACCTGCTCATGAATAGGATGATTTCGATCATTTACATTCTGATGTGGTAGCTAATCTCCAACGTAAACTGGCAACTCAATATTCTCTTTATTCTGTAGTGGGGGTAAAATAGCGTTTCCTCCTCCAACTATAGCAGCTTCACGATGATGTCTTAAAAATGTTATTTCAATATCTGTATCAAACATCTCTTAATCGTTATCACTTCAGGGCATACACTAGTAAAATAGAAACTAAAACAACCTACAAAAGAAAAGAACAAAGTAAACAAAATTAGAAAAACCCTAAATTAAACAGATGCTCCCCGGTAATGATGCCAAAATCTTGATGCTATGTAAGATGTTATAGCATTAAATGTAAGTATATGTATCGTTCAAGTAATAAAGTGGTAGCAATTAATGCTACAGATGTCGAACCCACAGGGATCAGAGTGTTTTCGTTAGAGTTTTGCTGTAATAAGATTTATCAAAAATCTAAGATGCTAAAAAGAAAGTATTGAAATCGAGAATAAAAGACACATGTTCATGATACAACATTTTAGGAAGCAATTGGTCAGTTATCGAATCAAAGGATATAATAATATGGTTTCCAAATTTAATGCAAATAGTTCACATTTAATTTATGTGATCACCATTGATTAAAATCATTTAAACTACTTTAATGGATTTCATTAATCAAATCTCAAACTATTAACAATACTAATCAATTGGTTATGAACTTTTCAGTATACCTATGCTACGCAGTAACACCAATGTTCATAAAAGTATATAACAAATCGAATAAATTTGTTTCTAGATTTAAACGAAAATAGCATATATCTAATTTCAAATATTTATACTCAAAATCCTAAAGTTCAATTCCCATCTAGGTTAGATTATGATTTTCACTCTACTTGATCTATTCATTTTTTCTTTTTCTTGTCGTATGATGATTAAGAATGGGCGGTCTCGAATGAAATATTTTCTAGTTAGACACAAGAAAAGGAGTAATAGTTGGTACGGCCAAGAGTACTTGTAATTGTCACTAGTTTTATTCTTTCTATCTTGTTACTAGCCTCCGATCACTCAACTAATATACTTGAAAAGTCTTGCCTCATCTCTAGTCTTGACACCTAGGTCAGCCTATTTTATAGCCTGGTCGTATCTTAGGTTCATTATTTTACCTTTCACTATGGCTAATAATTTTATTTCTGGTGGATAAAATATTTCAGAACGTGAATGATCTCAACCTTCTAGTTCAAATAAGCTATAAGCATTTTTACCCGTTATAGGTTGATATGCTCCTATCACTTCTCGTTGACTTAACCGATGAAGGGACAATATAAATAACCTCTCTCGAACTTCCAATAGGAGTTTAGAATTTGAATCACCCCTATCTCAAAAAAAGGGCTTGAATGGTGATCCGCTGACCGCTGGAGGTACTAAACGAGCTTTCTTTATGCTACAGTAATCCCTGGTAGAGTACTTAGGATTCCATGGTTTGGAAAGAATTAACATGAAAATTGGTACTTTGGATCTCTCTCAATCATCCCCCTTTTTGCACCCATGTATGCCCTTTTATAGTTTGGATGAGAATTTCATCAACAATAAGAAGAATCCATTCTTCAAGTGAAACACAACCAAATGACAGCTTCCCAATCCAGCTATCCCATACTAAAAGATTATGCCAACCGTATGAACCTTAGACGACCACTAAAACATCCGATCAACTTTTCCTACAATGCTATGACATTAGTGAAATAATTTTCAGTATCAAAAATCAATTTTAGCCCTTAGTAACCCATAATGATCTATCATGGAACATATGTAAAATTAAGTAATTTTAATCCTAAATACTCCTAAATAGGCTTAAGCTCAAACTAAACCTAGGTGAAAAAGGCTACTAAACATAACTTTTTTGGAGAGTTATCAGTCCTCAAGGTTTAAATTGGGCTATGGTTAACTGATTATTTAATGCCCCAAATACCAATTCAAGGACTATATTGAAATAATTTAAAAATATGAGGATTGATTATTTTAAAATAATAAAAGATAAAAAGGATTAGGATTAATAATTTAGACTAAATTGTGATAATAGAGTATTAAGAGGGCATTTTGGTCTTTTAAATAAAAAAGAATTTAAAATGTCCTATTGATGGTATTAAAGAAATGGGAAAAGGGGGTTAGGTTACAAAAGTTTTCTTTCTCTCGTTTCTTTCTCTTTCCCTCGTAACCAAGCTCCTCCACAGCTAAAAGATCGAAATCGAGCTCCCGGGTCGAGTAAAGTGAAAGACAAGGGTCAAGTTCTGGAGTAATTATCTCTCATTTTGGATATCTAAGCAAGGAGAGGCAGGTGAGTGCATTTAATCATGTTACTATATGTTGCGCTAAAGAATGGGTTTTTCTCTCCAAAAGCACAACCCGAGCTCGCAGTAAAAGAATGGGACTGCTTAGACTTTTGTGCAGCTATAGCATCCTCCGTTCTATCATTATATCGGGAACCATATCCCTTGCCTCTCTTAGCAAAATGTGTAGGTGAAGACATCCCACTCCTTTTTCTCATCAGAATATTCTGTTCTGCAGCTAGAGTCTCCTCTTTAGCTCTTTCAATCGCTTTCGCTCTATTTATCACAATTTAGTATAAATTATTAATCCTAATCCTTCTTATCTTTTATTATTTTAAAAGAATCAATACTCATATTTTTGAATTATTTCAATATAGTCCATAAATCGATATTTAGGACATTACAGATTAATAAATGAAAACATGTGAATAAGCTTATGAGCTTATGGAATAAATGGAAAGTATATTGGTAAGAAATTTATATGTGGGTCATATCATGCTAATATTAATAGCATGATTGAAAATACATGTAAAGTGATCATAATGCATTGAATATTATTATTGTTTATATTTATATGTTTTGTTGCCTTGAATACTTCAATGATTATCTCATTAAATGTATACCTAGTGTGTGATGATTTTCATGTATATGTAAAAGAGAGGGAAAAGGAGTAAGGAGGTGAGCTTGGCATCAATTACAAAGGAATATTTTCAGGTATCGGTAATGTCATCATAACGTGTTCTAGATATCTAGTGGACATGTATACGAGTAATTAGTGTTTTCAAACTACAAGTATGGTTAGTATTAAATATAACTAATAGTATGAATAAATATTATGATATTAAACTATGTTTTGGATAATAATTAATTGGATTTTCAAATCATATAATTTTAAACCATTTTATTTATTATATACGAAAGACTAGAAATGTTGGTTACTATCAGAAACCGGATTTGAAATAGAATTCAAAAAATTATAATTTGATTTTCTCTGATTAATTATTATATAATAAATGTTAAAATCTGGAACTGGTGAGAGAAACAAAATTTTACCCATTTGGATTAAGAAACATTTTGAATAGTTAATGTGACATCTTTAACTCGTAATAGTAAACTTTTATGGGTGTTTCATTTATTAGTATCATAGTTGTAGGTGTAGTTGATTCTTAGACTAAACTGATCTTGTTTTGAGTCTAAAAGTGTATGAATTCCATTAGGGTGTCATTGTTATTGATTTGGTGATTGTAAGGTTCGATTGATGCCACTCCTTACTAAAAAATGTGAATAACTGTGGTGTATGTATAAGATGTGTGTAATTGAGGGTTTAAAAGTAAGTGACTGAGTAGGAGGTTTAAAAATAAGCCAATTGTGATAGTAATGGAGTTAACTAAATTATCATGTTTAATCTAATATTTATGATGCATCAACACAATATGAAGTGCCAATGTAAGTTTAAGGAAACCCTCGTTCATAAAAAAGTATAGTATGGATTAAAGACTGGGACATTCTGATAGAATTAATCCAATGTGATATGTGTGCGACTAACCTTTTAGGCTAGACTGCGAGGGTGACTCGTTCTTGTAGACAATAACTATCTGGTAAGGATTCAAAGTGTTGAGTTTTAACAGACTCGATAGAATTACCTTTCGAATATAATTTTTAAAACATATTGGTTACCCCTACCATGTCAAAGTAAATTATTGCTTATAGTGATTGACTTTAAATAATTCAAAAGTTTCGAGAAATTAGTGGTAGGGAAATAGATTAAATTCATTTCCTAATGTAATTTTTTTAGTATTTGTTATGAATTTATTGAAGGCTGTTAATCATTCTTAGTAAATGTGGTGGATAATCAAACTATCATAGCTAAGTTGGACCAAAATGCCAACTGTCTGAGAGTATCGATATGTTTTTCAGGGATAGTTACATGGGTTACCTCTAGATTGAGATTAGAAATTAAAATAGAGATATTACCTAGTATTACATTTATTTCTATAGCACTGTATCGAATGGCTTCGAATAAGCTCAGAGAATTAAAGGCATAGTTAAGAATTTTTAAAATCGGGAATGTATAGGACAAATAGTGTAATATAAGATGAACCAGTGTTATTATGAAAAAGAAAGATGGGTATATTCATTTATGCATGGATTATCATTAGTTAAATAAGTTAATAAAGGAGAACAAGTATCCTCTTAGGAGGATTGATGATCTTTTGATCAGTTAAAAAATGCATTAGTGTTTTCTAAGACCGATCTCATATCTATATGTTATCAGTTAAAGATAAGAAAAATATCTTCCCAAGATAATTTTTTGAATTCAGTATGGACACTACGAG